CTCCTTTCTGATGAATTTCACTTCTTGTTTGTACAAAATGCTACAAAATTTAATACGCTGTGATTTAAAAAAATATGTACAAAATTCTGCCCATGTGAAATTCAGCATTAGACATAAAAATGAAAGAAAATATACATTTTACATATATTTAGAAATTGTATTTTTAAATAATAGTTTAAACAACACTATTTTTTATAGTTAAATATTAGCACAGTCATATCATTGTAACTTTATTCAGTATATTTAGAAATGCTAGCTGGTATGTATACAGAAAATGCCTTATGAAATATATGTAGTTAATCTTTTGTGTAATATTCACACATCATGGTGAAGGTGAGCTGACCTAAAAAGCAGGTCAACAAACTGAACTACTTAAAAGTTTCTGTACAGTGTTAGTGATGAGTTTTCAATATCCATTCAGGTTTCTGCAGCTAGTGTGGGTACATGTATTCCCTTTTATTTGATGTTTGTGGAGAAAGGAAAGGTTATTGTGTTTTATTTCTTTGTTTGCTTATTTGTTTTAAAAATAGTGCCCAAGAAAGTTTGAAAGAAGAATACTTAATAACTCCCATAAAAACTATTTTTGTTTTCTTGTTTGAATCTGAATCTATTTTTGATGGCAGAGTATTCAACATGATGATGCCACCTACATAATTCCAGAGGTGACAAAAGTCTTCACTGTTTCTATCTTTTGTTTTGCATGGAAACATACAGAAGAGGTCTTTGCTTCTTTTAGCCAGATGTAACACATTTTCTTATTGTAGTAAAACTCTTTAATACATTTTTTCAGTTTAGAGAATAAGAAAGTTCATCATCAGTCCTGCTGATGATATTTTCAGACGGAAAAAAAACAACGCAGGAAAGCACTTTGATCCTCCCAGTGTTAGTGACTCTAATAGGAATTTATATTTGGCATTTTAACAATTTGACGTGAGTTAGGGTTCTACATTAATTATATAAATGAATTACATTTATTTGCTTATTTATTTTAGCTTTAGCCAAACTCTTGTGACAGTAGATATGTATCTGGAACACTAGATTTTTCTGTATGTTTGTGTGCATAACTGTGTTGGGAAAGGAAAAAAAAGCGAAATGGTTTTAGTAGAATGTTTTTTTTTTTTTTCAGCTGCTAGCATTCAGCTTTGCTTGCTGTCTCTGTATCTAAGTATTTAATTATTTACTTTATTTACTTGTTTACGTTCAAAATGTGCAAAAAGAGTGCTGTAATAAGACTTGTAGAGTTTCACTGTTGTTCAGAATGTATTCATACTCCCCAAATAGTTTCATAGTTGTTCAAAATGTATTTTCGTACTCCCCAAATTATTTCTGTTATTTCATTTAATACAGTTATAAAAATGTGACAATACACTGAGTTATTGAAGTAGTGTATAGACTTTTGTGTACATACTGTACATATTTAAATGACCCCATGGGTCTCCCAAAGCAAGCTTTTAACATTCCAGATTTTTTTTGTTGTGCATCTACTACTGGCATGTAGCCACCCACCCACCCACAAGTTTTGTTGAAATATATTGAATTTATTGTTTTATTCCAATTCACTCAAGAAGAAGGCTTGTAAAAATACAAAGGTAGTCACCTAGCTAATAAGGTTAATAAAACAAAGATTTTTCTTAAATGGAGTATGGCTTTTTTCTATGTGTGTTTTGGGTTTTTTTTGGTTTATTTTTGGTTCTGTGAACTGTGTGCACAATTACATAGCTTCTTAAATTCTTATCTTATGTTCCTTTTCTTTTCCTTTGCAGATGGGGTTTATACAGATTAATGAGGACTTCATATTTATTGAGCCACTCAATCACACTTTGGCTGTGACAGGTCATGCACACAGGGTGTACAGACGAAAAAGGTCTGTAGAGGAGAAAATTACTGAAAAACCAACTTCTCAGAATCAGTACTGTGGTGTTGTTACAGGTAATACACAAATCTTACTGAACAGACTTAATGTAGTGAACATGTATTTAAGATCTGCAGGCAGTAGCCAAAAACCAACAAAAGCATATTTGATTATATTTATAGTAGTAACTTATTGTCAACTTCAAGGTGGCATACTGAGACTGCAGTTTCATCTGTCAAAAGGTGGAATCTTCTGTTGTGGAATAGACAAGTACAATGATCCATTAGATTTGAAAGTAGAAAATTTGGGGCCATTTTATTCAGTCTAACAACTGCAACCAACTGGTTGGCCCAGTCTATTGTCTTTGTACTGTTGTCTTGGTAGTTGCTGGTTTACTTACTATGTGCAGTGCTTGTACTTACCATTCAGTTTTAGAACATAAGCACATACATCATCACAGTTTCAGTCGTTAACATTTTGAACGTTCATGCAAGTCAGACACTGATGTTAAGTGACCTTTCTAACAGTGTTCATCTTTTATTGTCACTTAAAATAAATGTGAAATTCATCTTCTTAACTGGGTGGTAGAAGCAGTCGGTTTTTCCAAGAAAAGGGGCTTCAAAAAAAGTCTGGCACATAATGATCACTTAGTAATGTTCAGTGTAGAGGAGAAAGGAGCTTTTGTGGAAAATAATACTCTGCTGTTCCTGCTTAATTGATGGCTTCTTTTCTTCAGAGTAGACATGAGCTGAGGATATTTCTAATGATGTTATAGGAAATTATCGTAAAAACAAACACGAGCATCTGCTATATAACAATCCATGGCATGCATGAAAATGAATGAAGATGCAGACTCATCTGTAAGGAAATTATTTTTCTGTCATTTTCATTAGCAGTCAGCCTTTCACTTTCTTGTGTTCTCTAAAATGGAAAAGTCAGCTTATTCTGTTCCAGTAATCTTATGCCCAAGGCTCTGACAGTGCAAATAGTCTGTCAACAGAGATTCAAATATTTGTTTGAAGTAGGTTTATTATCTCTACTACCAGTCTGGAATTAAAAAATAGCTCAAACTGTGAATAACTGATTAGCATCTTCTGGCATAACCTTATTTCCGGGAGGTTTTAAATGTCTGCAGTTTCTGACTAATTCTGTTACACTAGCAAGACTATTCCCTCCCTTTGATGTTACAAGTTGTGTTACATCGTGGAGCTGCAGTAAGGTATATTGATAAAAGTGGTGTCTACAGTTGGAGCAGCTGCTGTTGTGACAATACTCAGCATCACTAACATCACCAGAAAATTAATTTTATGGGTACAGCCTAAAAGTGGATTGCAGAAAGGAAGGAATAAAAAAACCAAACAGACAAAAAAACAAAAACAAAAACAAAAAAAACCCAAAACAACAAAATAGTCTTCTAAAGCAATATTTGAGAGTTTTAAACCAAATTGTCAAGTAAGTAGGTTAATGAAGAAAAACAGCAGATTCATCTGATGCTCAGATACTCAGACTTTACATAAGCTGCTGTACCTGTTGGACAGCTGTACCTGTCCAGCACAATGTAACGATTGTCTTACGTATGCTTACTTCTGAGCAATATCTTACAACAGGATCTCCTGCTTCTGCAGTTCTGGTGTGTTAGAGTAGGTGCCATGGGACAGGCATTTTTGCTGCTGGTTTGAAGCCAAATTGATTTCAAAGACTGGCTACATATCAAGCAAATATATATTGCCAATGATGAATTGTGATTGTTAGAAGGAATGAATGTCTTTGTTGGAGGTGCTGAAGGATCACTATATAATACGTATAATGGTTTTTCATGCAGAATTAGGGGAGGCAATCAATGAAGGTATTGTTTGTTGTCTGTAACTGTTGTGCTCTGTACTGAAAGATACTACATAGCCAAAGTCATCTGAGGAGAGCAAAGGAATTGGTTTTGCAAATGGGCTGTTCTCTTTCTTGCTGTTTGGTGGAGGGAGAGAATAGGACTGATGAAAACGTTTACTTTCTGAATTTGTGGGAATATATGTGTGTCTTTTCACTGAACACGTGTATGATTTACTTACTTATGTGAGCCAGTTGCACATACACAGATCTCAAACTCTGCACCTTTCTGTAGCACACGGTCCATTCACGATACCTTTCAAATCAAACCAGTTCACAGATGTGTCGCACAGGATTTGTGAGAAAAGCAGTTGCTGTTAGGGCAAAGATCTGCCTAGATCTGCCGTGAGAAACTATGCACTGTTCTTTCATCTTAGTATGAAGCTCTTGTTCAAGCCTGAAGTTGTTTGTGCATTATAGCTGGGTCATGGCAAAAGTACTCTAGGAAGAAAAAATAATCTAAAATGGTTGTTCTGTTTCACACAAACTGATGAGTGAGAGTGCTTGCACAAGATACAGTAGAGGTGAATTTTGATTCCTTTCTTTGTTTGAGACCGGAAGGCTCTTCTACTTCTCTGTTCTGACAATAAGCAATATTCAGTTCTTCTCAGTTACAATCAGACTATGGTCTTAAATTAATGCTATTTTTTGTAGGAAAAAATTAGCAAATTTTGCTGGACCAAAAGCAGAAGTTTGACTTAGTGGAATGAAGAATGGACTGGCAGCTGCAATAGCTGTGTTAGTCCTTGCTGTAAATGCAGTTTCCATCCAATAATCATGAAATGAAATGCATAAATGATCTTAGTTGTAGATGTAGATTTTTGACATTGTGCTAGAGGATACTGGTGCTGCTTCCGTGCTTGCTTTCCATTACATTCTTCAGAATAGTGCAATTTCTGTAAGGTTAATGTATCCCTTTTCCTTTCCCTATGAAAAGAAATCCTGGGTGTTGATGGTGGTGGGTTCTCTTATTTGTGCCAGATTCAAGTGGATTTAGGAAATACTCTTGTACCTAAGGGCTGGCAAGTATGTCAGAGTCTTGTAGTCATAACTTCTTCATAATCTCAGCTCAGATACTTCTGAGCAATCTGTTGCTGCAGTGGTGGAATTTTCAGGGTTATTATTATTATTAATTACTATTATTTTGAGAGACTATTGAATGTCAAATGTTTTTAGACTTCTTAGCTGGGGTACTGGAGTATTTCTAGATTTCATTTCAGTCCCAGATTGTAAGTTTAAGTGATAAATTGATATGAAATCTTAATGTTCTTTATAAATGCACCAAAAGTCAAAGTCTTACTGGTCACAGTGTTCTGGTAACATTATTTTTTATTTTTGTATTGTAATTTAGTTTATAAACTGAATTTCTGCATCTTAACATCCAAGAAGCAATGCTTTGGTTTTGTTTTGTTAGCTTGCAGAAATTCAGTTTATAAATTAAGTTTAATATTAATTTTATAATTTTACTACATGCAAACTCAATATAGATACTTTTTTTTTTTTTTTTTTTACAGAGTTGTTATCTGTTATGCATTAATGAGCAATTCTGTTTTTGTATACGTGAATAGTCAAGTATTTTTGCCTAAAACCTGTTTGGTCTGTTAGGTGGAAGTAATCACAGTAGTTGTTTGGATGCCATTGCTACTAAAATTAGCAATTCTATTTATTTAAGAGTCTGGAGGAAGAGCTAAAATTTTCAGATAAATGAGGTCTCACAAGATGGAGAATTTTTCCAGCAATTTGGATAAGGCTGACTGGCCAAGAACAGATCTTCCTTTGGTTTGTTAATCCAACAGATATCTGAGGAAATGAGGGACACTGACTGCCCTTTGCAGCCAGCTTGTCTGTGAAGCTGAGCAGTCTTCTTATCCACAACAACCCCAAAAATAGAGGGTACAGCAGTTTTTGGGACTGTGGTGCATTTAGCAAAACACTGACTTAAATAGGTGTTGCTTACTTCAGTTCTGAATAAAAATTAGATCTCTAGGTAAAATATTAGAGAAATATAATAGCAAACTTCTCAGAACTTCCATGCTGATACTAAATTAAAAGTTTTCGACCGATAGATGCTATTAGTGAGGAAGAAGTGAATGATGAACAACTGATGTTGTTGGAAGATATACTGGAATCAGTCACTGCTCCTAAAAGCAGTGGTATTGATATTGATATTGATATTGATACTGATATTGATATTGATATTGACCAAATGGCTCATGACAAATCTTTTCTAACCCAAATGAATTCACTGTGTAAACTCAGAGCCTTAACCTACTCAAGCAGCCTTAAATGCTTGTGTATTAAGTCATAGTTGTATAGCTTGTAGGGTGTGTTTTCTTGGCACAAATATGGATACTTGATAGTACAGCTTCATTAAAAACTATTCTCAAAAGCATGAAAAAAACAAGTATGATGCTTTGTTTTGTGCACTAGGCTCTGGATCCAGCCAGCAAACACAAGTATAGTAGGGGGCTAGCCATCCGTATAAGGCTAAGCATGCTGATTGAAAGATCAAAAGGTGGAAGGTTAAAATTTAGATTGTTTATGGATTTATCTAGTATTTCTTTTTAGGAAATAAAAACCCAAGACTTTATTTATTTCTGGAGATCACACACTTAAAAAAAAATATTTCAGCTACTTATAGTAGTATACTATATATACTTACATAGTGTATAACATAAGTATATAGTATACTTATATATATATATAGTATATATAGTATATGGTATACTTATAGTGACAGTAGCAATGACTGAAATCCTGTTAGTGCAGCTTGAAAAAAAAAAAAAAACCAAAAACAAAACAAAACACAAAAAAGAGTCATATTTTATCCTGCATATTATTGACATCATTCATCTGAAATAGTCTTTCATCTTTACAGATCAGTGAATTTTTCTGCATATTTTTGTGGTACTCAGTTTGTGACAAATCTGTATTCATCATCTATTATGCTGAGATACATTGACTGTATGTTTTCTGTATGCTTTATGCAGATAGACAGTGATTCTTCAGCCTCAGTGAGACTACTTGTATGTCAAACAGAATATTAATTTAACTCTACCTTATAAAGCAAACAAGGATGCACCTACTATTTTATAAATATGTCATGCAGTGGGTTGCAAAGAATCTGACTGTCTTTATCTGAGCAGCTGAATGACGATCTTGTTTCCCTCATGTGAGCTTATATTCAGGCAATCAGTCCAAGCCTAATCGCACTGGCAGTGCTAAATAAGAATGTATTAGCGTTCATGAGTATTACACTGCACACAAACAGAGTGATGCTCTAATTACAGGTAGCAAATCCTTAAGGCATGCAAGGGGTACTTTGAAAGATGTATTCTTCAAGCAGTGTTTTTATGTTACAGATAAAAGAAAATCCAAGAATCAGAAAGTATCAGAAAGTGGAAGAGGAAAACGATACTCTTACAAATTACCTCAGGAGTACAATATAGAAACAGTTGTGGTAGCAGATCCAGCTATGGTTCTGTATCATGGAAAAGATGCTGCCAGAAGATTTATTCTGACCATCTTAAATATGGTAAGAAATTTAAAATTCATTTTGGCTTTTGCCACCAGCACATGCGTAATGAACTGATTTCATTGCTCCTTTTTATTATCCTGACAGACTACCTGTAAAGAGACAGTCAGCACATGACCATTAGCAGGCTGTCAAGATTTAACACGTATATTTTGCAGCATAAAACCATGATGCTGCACATCAGTTTGCACCATCTGGTCTTATAACTTCAGCGATGAAACTAGAAAATGGGATCTGACCAAGGTGATTTTCTGGTTAGAAGACTATGATATTATTGGAAAGCTGGGGTATTGCATGATTTATTATGATCTGTGCTTGCTATGTAAATGCAACTTTGTCATTTAGAAGGATTACGTGATCATCACAGTGAAAAAAAGTTAAGGCACTGAGTTGACTACAACCCCTCCCAGCTGTTGCTGCACTGCATAAAGTGCAGCAAGAACAAGGATCTGTCACGTACAAGGAACGAATGTTCTGAAGGAGCATAAACTGAGGAATAAATAAAAAAAATATTTTGCATGAGAGGAAGGGCTATTGCAATGATCTCGCATTTGAATGAGTAACAATTTTCATGTGAATAACTTTATGTGCATGTGCAAGTATGTGGAGAAATTGGCTAACCTTCATAAAGTGGTTATGACCGTTGTCAGTGTGAAAGGTTCTTTCTGTTCTCCCAGAAGCAATATTGCCTAATAACAAAATACACTAGCTTTAGGCTTTGTTGAAGTCACTGGAAGTAAAAGCAACTCACTACAATATTAGAATTTTTTAGTTACTCTGAGTTTTAATATTTTTAGTCTACAATGTGTTGTGTTCAAAACAATTGCCTGTTTATTTTATTTTATTTTATTTTTTTCCTCCTTAGGTTTTTAACCTTTTCCAGCACAAAAGCCTTGGACTACAAGTTAATCTTCGGGTTACTAAGCTTGTCCTCCTTCATGAGACTCCAGTAAGTACGCATCACCTTTGTCTTAGTCTGCAGAGGACAATGCTGCTTCATCTTGTTGCTCTGTGAAGGCTTGTAATATTCATTTACTTTAATAGCCAACAGCTTTTCTCAGTTTTCTTTATGTATTATTTACAGTGCTTGACAACCCCAGTAAAGACCAAGTTTTTGCTAATCTGTATGTTGTATATATTGAGATTCCTATGCTTGCAGATGAAAGTAACTAAAAAAAAAAGAAAAAAAATTGCTATGGAAATCAAGCTGCTTATGTACTGCTTTTTGTATATTCACACAACTCAATGACAAACTTTATAAAACTTAGTGGATGGTAGGAGAGTTAATGTTATTTTTCAGACAACTAGTCAACAGTCACAGTCACAACCAGTCACATCACAGGTGCTGTGATTTCTTGTCATTCCTATGAAGTATTATGGGAATCCTTTCGTATTTTAATTAGTTCATAAGAAAAAGAAATCTCCCTATTTGTGTTTCAAATTTTAGAATATTAAAATATAGTATTTTATATTCTCATAGTAAGTAAAATCTCATTTTATGTTCAAATTCTTCATCTTCTAATCTTCTTAATCAATAGTGAAAAGTTACTGAGTAAAGGGGGAAGGAATTTAGGAGAACAGATTGTCTGTACTCATTTCAGTACAGTGTCTTCATCTGCGTGTTTAACATAGGAGGGTAGCATTAAATTTAGAAACAGAAACTTTCATGTATACACTGTGCCATGAAAGGGAGTATACTTTTGCAAATTCAGTAAAAAAAAAGTCCTTAATTATATTGTACAGAATCACAATTTTAACAGAATCAATATTTTCATTTCTAGGCAGATATGTATATTGGACATCATGGGGAAAAAATGCTGGAAAGCTTTTGTAAATGGCAGCATGAAGAGTTTGGCAAAAAGAATGATATACACTTAGAAATGTCAACAAGCTGGGGAGAAGACATGTCGTCAGTTGATGCAGCTATTCTTATCACAAGGTATTATTATAGAAGGATGAGCATTAAAAAATAAGGAATGACGTAGTATGAACATTATGGATCAAGAATTGATCAAAAGAGTTGATAGATGATCAACACAGACTTTAGTTTTGAATAAGAAAGAGTAAAACTTGAGGCATCTTTCCAGAATTAGAAAATGGAAGTTAATTGAAAGTCTTTTTAGAGGCTGAAATGTTGAGAACAAGATGGTGCTAAAGAGGTGGAATACAATAGTTGCAGCTGGTAAACATCTGAAATTACAAAGTTACTCTCCTGTTTCTTCTTCGACTGTAGGTTAGATGCTTCTTTCTACATGTATTCAGAAGGCAGCATACACAGTCCTGCAGATACATTTGTTCAAAAGACAAAAGCATATCTAGGGGATTCAGAACTGGATCAGCATGACATTAATCACATCATTATGTTATACTTCTTTGTAATGGATCTAGAACAAATATATCTTCCTGTGTGCCCAATGTACAGTACTTACTTTGCCAACAAAGAAGTGTGATTTCAGATCTGTGATTAATTATAACACTATCAGACAGTTCACAGATTCAGAAGGACACCTGCCTCCGACTTACCTCTTTTCTCCCAGGCAGGTGTTCTTTAGGCTCACCGTAGTGGCACAGGAAGATGCATCTTGTTTGAACAGAGCGCAGCCATTTTCCAGTGAGAAGGAGAATGATGATTCAGCTGGTCTAGGGTTGGGCCCAGCCACATTTTTGCAATGGAGCTTGAACTGGATGAACTTTCAATGTTCCTTCCAAATAAGCCTTATTTGTTTTGCATATAGTTTCAATATATACTTCAATATATATTTCTAATTCAGGACAGTGTCACTGGAAGTTATATACATTTTTTAAAATTAGGTTACATTCTAAGTACTCCAATATCTAAATTTCAGTTGTCCAAAGCAGAAAAAAGCTTCTGTAAATTTTCTTGCTTTGGAGAACATGCTAAGAAGCAGGGAATGCTGAAATCCAGATCGCCTACAAACATAGATTTTTTTTTTTTTTTTTTTTTTGTACTTTTGCAGCTTAATCTCCTACCTTCCTAAAGAAAAACCACATCCTTCACTTGTAACTCGTTCTCCATTCTATTATTTATCATTGTTCTGTCTGCACCACTGATTGTTGTGTGAGGATCAGTTTTTACACATTTCTGTATTAATTAAGTGGTAGTCCTTCATTCAGGTTCCTTTGAACTGCCCTGAAAGATACAAGCGGTAATAAAACCGAATAATACTATCCGTAATAAAATTTCCATTAATTAGAAAGCATCTCTGGGATGGCAGACTGGAGGGGGATTTTTCAGACCCCAACTAATATTAGCAATGAGCATGTTGATGGGGAAAGAGTCCAGATGGCAAAGAAAAAGTCTGAGTAGCAGGAAAGAGTGAATTATGCCAAGGCATGAAGAATGGCCAAGTATCGTAAGTTGGGCATTGGGCTGATGAACAGAACTAAAGGGAAATAGAGTTTCTTCCACCTCAATGTACTCTTTGACGGTCCAAAAATAATTGAGCAATTGTGTACTACTGGAAGCATGTGTTGCTGAGTGACCTCTCATCTGTCCCTTGACTCTTGAATCAATTTCAGTGTTTGCATCTCCTACAGCAGCTTGAAGAAGCACTGAATTCTTCAAAGCCTAAACCACTGGCACTGCCAGGAGAGTGAGAATTTCTATGCCATTGTTTGACAAAATTGGCTGTTGTCCCACATCTGATCTTCAAATCTGTCTTAGCTTAATGGGAAAATACAGAAAATTAGTCCAATGTTTCAGTTTGTTGTCCAAGGCTGCACTTCTTAACTTGGGAGATGTGTTTCTACTGCAAGATACTACAAATTAAAGAATTTAACACCTTGTTCCTCTCACTTGCCATTCTTTCCCTTGTGAGGCTTCATGAGAAGAATCAGGAGAGTTCTGAAATCGGGCAAATGAGGTTTTAGTTAAGGCAGTCAAGAGACAGTAGCTTGAAGATGTCTTTAGCAGACAGTGCATTTGACCAGAGAGCTTTTTAAATTTCTTGTAACCTTACTACATGGTAAAAGACTTCTTTTGGAAAGTCTAATTATGCTTTTAAGACACACTTTTCTAATGTTCTTTGTAATACAGTATTCTGATCTGTATTTCCTACGTTTTTATCTGTTAGTTTTAAAAAGGTTTTGTTTGAAGTATTTGCTGATTAGTGTTAAGGAAATTAAAGCAGAAAATGGGGAAGTGATTGGTTCGAGATCAGATAGTAAGTCAGTACCACAGCCAGGAATTGGAGATATGTTCTGGCATTTTTTTCAGTGGTTTTATTTCCAGACTATACTACCTACCATCTCAGAGCTGCTTTAGCTGTTAATAAATCATATCAGTGTGGTTTGCTGACTGTGGGAATGTTTTGCTAATCCAGACTCCCTCTGCACATCATCAGTTTTATGGTATAGCTAACCCCACATGAGGCTACAATTGTATGTTTTGTTAATTCAGAGAGTATTATTCTGTTTTACAATCGCAGAAAAGCTCCTTTGTCATAACTTAAAAACACCTAATTTTGTTTAGGGAGATAAACATCGCTTTCTTGGTAATTTTTCAAGTAAAAATGTACATTTGTTATTTCCAAACATATTCTGTGGTAGACTTGCTAAAACTCACCTACTTCTCCTTTTTGTCTAGCATGGTAATAGAACAAGCAAGAGTGCTTTGAAAAGGCTTCATTATGCTCACACATGCCAGTTGGTTCTGGTAGCCAGAGTTAGAAATATGGTCTTGATTACCACTATTTTGCAGAACTAATATTTAATGCAAAATGTAAGGAGCATAACATGTATGTAATAAAGATTTTTATTCAACAAAGAGACATCATAGCCATTTAAAGAAAAAGGTTATCTTCCAGACTTACTTCAATACTTGTTCTGTAAAACTGAAAGCAAAGCCCATTTCTGCCCCCAGTGTTCACATTCTCTGCTGCCCACACAGGCTGGAGTGGTACCTATGAGTAAAGTAGTAATTTGATCATTTTTCTTCTCTACAACTCTTTTTTATCCTCTGAGATTTTGTTTAGTTTTCCCTTAAATTGACTTATTCTGGTGACACAATGTCATATTTAGAATATGGTGTCATAAAATAAAAGGAAGACAGAAGGATAAAGTTTGCATATTGTATTTAAATAGGATCAGGGAGGCTTGATAGAAGGAGTATGTGAGAATTAAGATAGAAATGGTTTTAAGGACTCTCTTGGTAAAACAATTGGATAGCTGTAAATTCATACTATTACTTTAGAGATATACATATCATAAAGCATTTTTCTCTGGAAAAAAAAAAAGTAAGAAATCAGAGTAGTTCAGTTGGGAGGAACTTACAAATATAATTGTGTCCAATAGCCTGACCTCACTTAAAGGTTAACCAAAAGGTAAAACCTACTATTAAAAGCATTTTCCAGAAGCATTTCCAAAAAAGTATTTTCCAAATGCATTGCGAACATTGACAGGCATAGGGCATGATCTGCCTTGCTAGGAAGACTGTTTCAGAGACTCAGAATAAAGAAAAAATCAATCTTATTTTAAGTAAAAAAAGGCAAGGCCACAGTCTTTCCGGAGCCTCCCTCAGCCCTTCTTGCAGGAGAAGTGCTCTGCTGATCATCTTCTTTGCCCTCCTCTGGATCCTTTCTGACAGCTCTTACTTGCCCTACGGTCTTCAAACCTGATGGAATGCTCCAGATGGGGCCATGCAAGGGTAGAGAGGGACAATAAACTCCTTCACTTTGCTGTCCACCGTTCTTTTGATGCAATACGGGATATACTTGGTTTTCTGGGCTGCAAGTGCGTTCATACTGCTGGCTTACACTGAACATTTTTCCATCAGAAGCCCCAAATCTTTCTGTGCAGGGCTGCTTTCAAGGAGTTCTTCTCTTAGTTTGTATTAATGTCTGGGATTCCCCAATCCAAGTGTCAAGGACGTGTACTTGGCCTTGCTGAACCTCATTAGGCTCACTTGGGCATACTTGTAAAGCTTGTTAATGTCCTTTTTGATGGCATCCCTTCCTTCTCTTGTGTCAACTGCATTCTTTGGATTGATGTTGCCTGCAAACTTGCTGAAGGTGCACTCAATATGGAACCATGCAGGAGACTGTCACTACTCACCTCCAACTGGACATAGAGCCAATTGTCTGCCCAACTCTCTGGCTGCGGCCATCCAGCCAATTTATTAGGCCTTCTTGAAATTGGAAGTGATGTTTCTTCAGCGATTTCTTCAGTCGCTGAGGACTTCACCTGACAGCCATGACTTTCCAAATATGGTGGAAAGTGGCTCAGGAACTGCATCAGCCAGCTGCCTCAGATCCCTGGAATGCATGTCCTTGAATCACATAGACCTGCTCATGTTCAGTTTCATCAAGTGGTCTTGAGCCTGCTCTTCTTCTACAGTGTGATTTCACTTCTCCAGCTGTACCCTGATTCAGGGACTTGAGAGACATGCCAATGAAGACTGAGGAAAGAACTTTTTGACTACCTTAGCCTTCTCTAGTGTTTGTCATTGCCAGTTCTCCCTTCTTTATTCCCTTGAATCCTGTTACTGATTACCAGAGAGAAGAGATTAGCACCTCTTCTTCTGCTCTGCCTTGTTAGGAAGATATAGGCAACCATGAGGTTTCCTCTTATTCTCCTATACGCTGAATGGATTAAGTAACTTCATCTGCTCCTCTTATGTCCTGCCCTGTAGACCCTTCACCATCTTTGGAGCCCTGCTTTGGAAATCTCTATTAGTTCCTTCTTTTCTTGTGCCACCCATCCTACATACAGTGCTTAAGGTAAGGCTGCACCAGTGCAGAGGAGCAGTGGGACAACCTCTTTCTTTTCCCGGTGGCAGCACTGGGCCTGATGAACCCCAGAGTGTGCCCTTAGGGCTGCCAGGGCACGCTGCTGACTCAGATTCAACTTGCTAACAGCCAGAACCCATCATTTTCTGCAGGGCTGCTCTCCAGCCCTCATCCCTGAGTGTGTAAATATAGC